TTAAAGGGTTCCTTTTAAGGGGCTCTATAAGGGATACTAAGGGTTCTATGATGTAGGGGCCTTAATAATTAGAACCGGGTTTTGGGGGTACATTAAAGTATAATCATAATAAGGAACCCCCCCAAAATGGTATAGGTAATCATTTAAGCTGCTATATTAGTCTGTACTACCTTTCAGGCGAGTCTCTGCTGTTGGCATTTGAGGCTCCATAACTTCCCTTCTCAAAGCAGAAGCTAGCAGGGGCACTCATCAGTAATGTAGGGGCCTTCATAATTAGAGGGCTCCTTATTATAATTATAGCATAAACTACCCAAACCCTTTTCTAATTATTAAGGCCCCTACAGTACCCATATCTACCCTCGTGATGATGGGTATCGGCACCCTTGCTTTGAAGTAGTCTCGAGCTGGCACTTCCTGATCCTTTTCTCGAAACCATTGTTCTGGGTTCTTGTTTAACTTAAGTTACCGTAATAGGGATCTAACGTAAATAACATGGTTTCTTGATTATGGTAACTTTACCTAAATCCCTTAACAAGAACCCAGCATTGGCAAAGGGCTTAGGCTTTAGAGGGGCCTCTTGGCTTCAGAAATGAAAAGCAGTCGACGTTTAAAGACAAAGGGATTCGGTAATATAGGGTTTAGGGTTTAGGGTACTGGGATGTTTTGAGTAGGAGCTGTAGTTGGTGTTGCTATTTATGGGCTTCTATATTCTCTAATACCCGAATCATGGCCCCCCCAAGAGGCCCCCGGCGTCGCGGCAGGTTTGCCCCTTCTCCTTAGCTTCCGCAGCATTTGGGAAAAACGGACACACAACTTACAAAGGGTGAATCTGACCGCTTAGGGTTTGGGGTTTAGGGTTTGGGGTTTGGGGTTTAGGGTTTAGGGTTTGGGGTTTAGGTTTAGGGTTTAGGGCTAGGAGATTTGGAACAATGAAAACCCTAACCCACCAAGCCCAATGCCGACGAAAGAAACGGAAACAAGACTGTAGTGTCCAGCGGCAGCAAACTTAGTTTAAGCCTATACGCCCTAGACCCCAAACCCTCAAACCTAAAAGCAAAATACCCGGGACACTACATCCTCTGCACCATACTTTTAACCCTAAACTCTGAACCCTAAACCCTAACCCTGACCCTGACCCTAAACCCTGAAGTTGGAACTTCAGACCTACTCAGCTTCCCCCATAGATGTAGGGCTCGGATTCACAGGGTCTTGCTGAAGTGTATATATTTAGGCTTTCGGGATTAAGGGGTTGAGGCTTTCAGATGTAGGGTTCAGGGTCTTGTGCTTTCGGATTTGGGGTTTAGGGATTCTTAAAGCTATCGAGTGTCAAGGCATGTTTTCGTGTCTAGGGTTATTGGCGGTTGTAAAACAGAAGCAATCCCCACCCTGAGGCCAGTCTCAGGGCTGCGGCAACAGAAAAGGATTAGGGCTTAGGCTTTAGGCTTTAGGCTTTCGGGACACCCCAGACGCTAAAGTCCAACCGCCCCAGACCTGTATCCTTTATCTCCGAACAAGGCGAAAACGAAACCATTTCCCCCGAACCCAAGCACACTAGACCCCACTCACTAACCCCAAAACCCTTGACCCTGAACCCTAAACCCTAAACTCCAAACCCTCAGCCCTAAACCCTGCACTCCAAACCCTCAACCCTAAACCCTTACTTAACTCCAAATCCTCAACCCTAAACCCTTAGCTCCAAACCCTCAACCCTAAACCCATTAAACGCAAAACCTCCAGAGCAGCCACGTTTCGAGGATTCTCACTGTGTTCGTCTCCCGCAAACCCCAGCCCTCCACCTTCGCACAAGCCATATGCGGTTTTGGGCTTAGGGCCTAGGGTCTAGGGTTTAGGGTTTAGGGTTTAGGGTTTGGATTGCTTCTTAGGCTTTAACGATTTATTTTGGGGAGTGGGACTTCGGGTTTTAAGGTCTTTCTCGGTCCTGCGTAGCTTCTTTTGTCGGGGCGAGCCCTAAACCCTAAACCCTAAACCCTAAGGGTCAGAACCATAATCGTGAGGCGCTTGTGGTTGTTTAGCCTAGGTTCGGGGGGTTTACGGGTTGGTAGTGCGCTCTCTGAGATGGGGTAGGCCCAAAACGCTGCAACCCTTGAAAACCTACATCGAGCCCTGAACCCTAAGCACATACCCCCAAAAGCCCGGGACCCTAAACCCTCATAGAACCACTACCGAAGCCCTCCTGACACGCTTAAAGGAACCCCAAACCTAAACCCTAAACCCTAACACAGCGACCCAGGAATCCGAAGCAAAAGAGATACCTCGATGCTCTGCACCATGCCGGTGTCCAGGGTCCACTCCTCTTCGGCTAGGAGTTTAAGGGTTTAGGGTTTGGGGTTTAGGGTTTAGGGAGATTGAAATGAAACTCCAACCTGAAGTTGAAATAGTTGACTTCCGCCAACCTCATGGAGTTTGATCGAACTTGAACTTGGAGTTGGAGTTGACTCGAATTCAATGGAGTTGGGTTGAATTTCCAGACCCTCTCAATCAGGTCCCTCTTAAGAGAGCCCTAGCAAGGCTTGTCCCCTCTCCCCGCTACTACCTACGACATGCTGATGGGGGTTGGGAGATTCGGATTTCTTCCAGTTCTGAAGCGTTTAGGGCTTAAGGTTTGGGGCTTAGGGTTTAGGGTGAAGGATCAGCAACCTGCAGGGTTTAGGGTTTAGGGTTTGGGGTTTAGGGTTTAGGGGTTTAGGGTTTAGGGTTTGGGGCTTTAGGGTTTAGGGCTTAGGGTGTAGGGTTTAGGGGTTTCGGGTTTAGGGTGAAGCTTTTTGTACAAGCTCGCTTCTGGGAATCTCGAGTCCCAAACCGCAAGCTTAAGTTGAGGGCTGAGGGCCCTAAACTTTAAACCCCTAAACCTTTAAACCCCTAGACCGGTAAACGGTTTAGGGTTTAGGGTTTAGGGTTTAGGGTTTAGACCCCTAAAACCCCTAAGCCCTGAACCCGTTAGGATTTCGAGCTCGCTGCTGTCACAACTCCTAGCTCCAACCCAGCAGGAGGCTCTGGTTAACCCTAAACCCTAAACCCTGAACTCCTGGTTGCCCAAGGGCCCAGAGACAAGGAACTTGCCCACGAGGATCCAATCCTCCACCCTGGCGTTCCCACTACGACTCATGCATGCTTTAGGGCTTAAGGATTAAAGGGATTAGGGTTTAGGGTTTAACCCTAAACCCTAAACCCTAAACCCCAAACCCTGGGACCCTAAACCCTAAACCGCAGGCGAGGCCGCAGGCTTCTGGGGGATGAAGGGTTTGGGCTTTAGGGGGGTAGGGACTCTTCTTCCTTCAGCAGCCCGTATTAAACCTTTGTGAGGATTTAGGGTTTAAGGTTTAGGGTTTGGGGTATAGGGTTGGGGTTTAGGGTTTAGGGTTTAGGGTTTAGGGTTTGGGGTTTCTGAATGACCGTTGCAGTCATTATCTGGTCTTGATGTTGTTGGGGCTGATCGCACTCGCTCCGGCTACTTCTACTATCATCATTCTGGCTGCAAGTATGACATCCTAAGCCCTAAATACTATGCGAAATGCCGAAACACAACGCCAAATGCCTCAACCTTCAGTCCTAAACCCCATATACTGTAGGAATAGGGTTTAGGGGTTATATTATACTGTAATTACAATAAGGAACCCCCCAAATAGTATAGGCAATTACTAAGGCCCCTATATTATCCTACACCCTGAACACCTGAACCCATAACCCTCAACCCAAGCTACCTCAACGCAAAACCCTAAGTACTATGCCCTAAAAAAAAACCAACCCATTGGCCCTAAACCCCTTAACGGCCTGGTGCAGCGTGCATCGTCCAGCGGCCACGCCTCCGCCATCGGCGGTGGAGGCTTGTTTGGGTTACCAGCGTTACGAGGTTGGGGGAGACGTGCGGGGGGTGGGGGGGGTCCAGAGATTTGGGCTGTACCCTAAACCCTAAACCCTAAACCGTCTGGGGTTTAGGGTTGTGGGTTCAGGTCGAGGGTTGCTCAGAGTTTCCGTTTTTGGGCTTTGGTTTAGTATCCAAGCTGCCCAGGTTGAGAGCCGGTCCCTAAAGCCACAACCGTGGGACTCTAAACCTCTGACCGAGTCTACAGGGAAGCTGACCCCAAGCATTGCTGCCGAAACAGCCATCTTAAGCCCCCACCGGAAAGACCAGCGTTTCGGGGTAGGGCTACATACCGAAAAGATGAAGGGCATTCACAAATGACTGTCTGTCCTGGAGCAAGGGCTTGTTTCAGCACAACAGATTTGTAGGGTGCCTTCTGCTGTACACGAACATGTGTCAGGACTGTATCAGAATAACACCACAGCTATCACAGGACTCATACGTTCGGCTATTCAGTGAGCCCCAACGAAACATGGCACAGTGCATACCATTAGCAGAGGAGCCGCAACCCGAACTGTCCGGGTTCAGGGTGCAGAGACCAGAAACGCCTTCAGAGACCTTAAACCCTAACCCCAAAACGGCCCCTAAACCCTAAACCATAACCCTAAGCCCTAAACCCGGACCTAAACCCTAAACCCTAAACCCTCAAAATGCTAAACCCTCGTGGTTTGCGGCTGAAGGCTCAGGGATCCAACTCTGCCCGGCCTCGCAGTAACAGACGGAAGTCACGCCCGCCTGCGTCGTCAGTATAGGGTGTAGGGTTTAGGGTTTAGGGTTTAGGATTTAGGGTTTAGGCTTTAGGCTTTAGGCTTTAGGCTTTAGGATAGGAACTCAACCCAGGCTTCGGGGGGGGGGGGCCTTTTATGGTTTATGGCTGGAATAGGGCCCTGAGCCCTAACCCCTAAACCCGAAACTGCTATAGGGGCTCTATAAGGGTGAATACCCTAAACCCTAAACCCTTTAAGGGTTCCTTTTAAAAAGGGGTCTATAGGGGCTCTGTAAGGGTGAAGATCCTAAACCCTAAACCCTATACCCCATGTACAACCCTAAAACCCTAAACCCTAAACCCTCAAACCCTAAACCCTATTTTTTGAAGGGGTCTATAGGGGCTCGAAAAAGGCTGAAGACCCTAAACCCTAAACCCTAGACCCCTTCAAGGGTTCCTTTTTAAAAGGGGTCTATAGGGGCTCGAACAAGGCTGAAGATCCTAAACCCTAAACCCTAAACCCTAAACCCTAAACCCTAAACGTTCCTTTTTGAAAGGGGTCTATAGGGGCTCGAACAAGGGTGAAGATCTTGAGATCGGAAGCTCCAGGGTTCAGGGGTTCAGTCTCTGGGGTCGAGCCTTCAAGGCGGGCACGGGTTAAGGGGTTTAGGGTTTAGGGTTTTGTTTTTAAGGGTTTAGGGTTTAGGGTTTTTGTTTGTAAGGGTTTAAGGTTTAGGCTTTTTGGCTTTAAGGGTTTAGGGTTTAGGATTTACCCCAAACCCTAAGCCCTAAACCCTAGGGTTGAAAGTTTGGTGGGTTTGGTGGG